AGGGTTAGAGAGTCTGTATGACCGGATGGAAGGGTTTCTTGACAGACGATATAGGCCTACAGGGTTAGAGTCTGTATGACCTGATGAAAGGTTTTCTTGACAGACTATATAGGGCCTACAGGGTTCGAGTTTGTATGACCAGATGGAAGGTTATCTTGACAGACTATGTACATGGTTCGAGTCTGTATGACCTGATGAAAGGTTTTCTTGACAGACTATGTACAGGGTCAGAGTCTCTATGACCGGATGAAAGGTTTTCTTGACAGACTATATATACAGGGTTCGAGTCTCTATGACCGGATGAAAGGTATTCTCGTACCCTCCTGACGCTGCTTCCTTTGCCAACTTGTTTGGAAACACAGACTTAGCCTTTAGCAATAGCACGATTGCCTTTAACAGGATGTACTGAGTGATAATCTCCACTCGCGTGCACCGAACGTGTCAACATTTCCTTCTTCTTCTAGCCCGAATCCATGGATAAATGAAAATGACGGGACGGCGCAAGGTACAAGGCGTCAGAATTCATACGTGTGTGCATTATGTATTCAGGGTTGGTGATTTTTCATATTTTTAAAATAAATTTAAATCAGATTTTTAAAATTTAAATCGGATTTTTTAATTTAAAAAAAATGTCGACACATTTTGGGATTTTTGGAGGCTAAAAGTATGTTCTTTTAGTGAAAAATGCATTGTCTTTATTTCAACTAATGATTAATTTAAGCAAACTGCAAAAGAAAGCCTTAATCTGCTATATCAGTGAATTATGGCTACAGACAAAAGATGAAGAAAATGTCAGTCTAAAAGGAAGGGGGGAGGGGGTAATTATGCATAGATAAACGTGCATTTTATTACAGTGTGCGTGCGCGCGCTTGTGTTTGTCTAAAAAGAAAAAGAAAATGGTAATTTCAATTATGAAAAAAAATAATTGAATACTGTATTATTTTACAGTGACAGGGGGAAAAGCAGACTTTTAAGCATGATTATATTATTAAAGGCACAAGAAATGTAAATTTTCAGTTACCAAGGACTCTTAAGCTAAGGAAATAACTAATCTTTGGCGGCCATTTTCTCACTAATTTTACCTCTGAAAACAAGTGACCCCCACCCCCTTCTTTCGTAAATATCTCGACTTGTATTCAAGATAAATGGAAATCATTTTCACCCAAATAAAGACAAGTGAATAAGCTTTAAGATGATACCAATAACTCTACATGCTAAAAAATTGACGATGACCTGATTCCACCACGCTGCCTCACAATTGAATACTGTATTATTTTACGGTGAAAT